TGTCATGTGCCACTCAGGACACCTCTTGTTTAGCTCCCCCCGCTTTGTTTTTTGCCCGCCACCTTCAAATTCTAACGATACAACCTTGTTCAATATTCCCCTCAAAAGGTACAGTAACTGTGTTTCCCTGGCTGTGCTTGTTCAATGGTGATCATGTCTACATAGGATAATGCCTACAATTTATGATACTGTCCCTTTTCCCAACCACCTTCTCCCCACTTTCCCCACCAGTGATACTTTTGTTCTGACGGTAACGTTATGAATATACCTGGAGGTATGTTACTCACAAGTTGAGAATAAACAGTGTTACTATATTATTAATAATCCTCCGTTTCCTACTCCTCTCTAAAACATTTTCATTCTTTTCCCTGGCATCGATGATGCCTTTGCACACTCTTCGCGCCACAAAACTTGAAGTGAATGTTTTATTTCTCTCGTAGCACCCAAAGCACGGCCAACATTTTTACATTCATGTACTGCCATCACTACGTCTAGTTGCCCCACACTAGCCATCCCAGGTGTTGTGGCTGCTGACGAAAAGCATTTTTCTGATTCCGTCGATATCTTAGAATCTCAAACATCTACCTCGCTAGATACTGGGTCCCTCCCGCATCGACCCATTTGACTCCCCACCTGGTTCCGCGACGACCACACCTGTTGTTAGGACAAATATTACTCTCTGCACACTCTCTATAACTTTAAATTACTGGACTTCTTCACCTGACTACATTGGAGACTCCAAGTTCCCAGGCACTGACGACAAATTCGCCTATCCCAAAAGCTGATGTCCCGGACATCCCAAACCTCATCTCAAATCTCTTCAATCTACATCACACCACCGGTACAGTGCCAGATCAGTGGAAGCACTCCAATGTTGTTCCACACTGTAAGTCAGTTTCAAGAACTGCTCAAGTTATCTATCGTGACATCCACCATACTTGCTTGCTCTGAGCTAATCAAGAGCGCCTCATCAAATTCTCTGTCATAAATTCCCTGCTCAATGCTCAAGACACTTAACACTCAAGTGTACAGGTTCATGGCACGGCGGTTGGCTTACATGTGACAATTTGATTCCTTTATTCACGCTTCGTCCGATTACGATACCAGACTCAATTCCCTGCTGCTCAAGACACTTAACACTCAAGTGTACATGTTCATGGCACGGCGGTTGGCTTACATGTGACAATTTGATTCCTTTATTTATTCTTCGTCCGATTACGATACCAGACTCTATTATTCTTATCTATCTTGATGCTAGCAGTATAAAACCCAACTCCGGCTTTGTTTCACCCTCCCAAAGGTTCTAATATAATGCGTCACTTAAAGATACAGTCTGGCTGTTCTGTTAGATGTACACAAGGCAGTCATGAAACCGAGCCTCGTTGGCGTGACATTTAGAATTCCAGAGCATCACGAGCTTACAAAAGTGTATCCATGGGTGTTGCCTCAGCGATAACCTAGTGAGTGAGCCGATACTTCTAGTAGTATAATGAAACCAAAGGTTTGAATGTGGTCATCGTAGCGTGAAATCCCACCAGTCTCTCGTTAACTTGAGGCTCCGTCCTTGGACATGAATTATTGGCTTCTGTGCTTGTGCTTATTAACTGACACTTTGTGTCCTTCAAGAATCTAGTTATTGCTAAAAGGTTTACACATTTGCGACACACAGAGATCCCTTACTATTTAAGGCCACTTTAAAGATCGTTTCCAAACATTTTCATATAAATTTGAGTCACATCAAACTCATCGTCCGTGCCGAAGTGCTGCCGACCGTCTTCACTTTCATAATCACACCAAAACTATCCAAACACAGGAGCAAATAAGACAGTTGATTTGTATGCGATCCACACCCAGGTCCCGTGCATCGTCGCAATTCCACAAGTCCCGTTCTTGTACACCCGGCACTCAATGAAATCAGACTCTCCATTATTGCTCTCTTTGTGCCTCGCACGCCCATCCCTATCTGTCCCAAGTAAGCGGAATTTTTTGGTTGTTGTCCAGCGCAGAACATCCGCCAACTCCTTGGTAGTAGAGCCGGGCAGATGAATCCCATGGAGTAGTGTGGAGAGGCTATAGGTGACAGTATTCTTTGTTTCGTGGGAGTTTCGAGCCGGATACCTACTTGAAACAGGAATTCGTCAGTCGGTATGCCCCATT